AAAATTATGTATGTTATAGGGATCTCTGGTATGGGCGAAGGTAGTCAAAAAATGGATAATTCATCAGACAAGGTAAATAATTCTGTATTCTTGAGATATAATTTCTTTGTTTATTAAAGCTAGAAAGAAGTCTCTCAGAAACAAATTTTTGCAAAAATTGACTGCAAGTTTTATTGGTAAAAAATTACAGATTTGATGCGTAACTTTTATTCAGCAATATTTTTTTAAATCGTGTAATCAATAAAAATAATTTATTCTTTTATTTATTTCTACAACTCTATTTTTTCTTTATTTTTATTGAAATACGATAAGATATAATTTACTTTAATTTGAACTTGTATTTTTAATGAATATTTTTATAATATTTTTAGTCGTTAGATTCTTGCAAATTAACGCGAAAAGAATCATATAAGGCTCAAAGAAAGAATTATCGAATGGAAAAGAAAAGAGTAGCCGATGAACTTTTAAGTTCTTTCAAAGATCCAACCGTTATTGTTATGAGTGATTGGTTAAAAGTTCGTGGCACATTGAAAAGTTGGACCAAGTTATGGTGTATTCTGAAACCTGGATTATTGTTGCTGTACAAAAGTCCAAAAACGAAGGTTTGTATTTGCATTTCTCTTTTCTTTTTAACTATTTTTTTTAACCTTTCTTATTGTATCTGCAATATTTATTACAGAGTAATCATTGGGTTGGAACGGTACTACTTAATACGTGTCAAGTTATTGAACGTCCGAGTAAAAAGGATGGATTTTGTTTTAAATTATTTCATCCGTTGGAGCAATCTATATGGGCTCCTCGAGGACCAGAAAAAGAAGCTATTGGTATATATCTCTATCATTATATACATTGTACATATACTGCTTTTGTGCAGCAATTTTTTTTGCAATATATTAATAGATAACACCTATAATCTAATCTTTAGATATAATAATGATATAATATGTATAACTGGGCTTGGTTCTTATCTATCAGTCTTATCTTAAATTCTGTGATTTTCTTAAACTT